TCTGTATGTGGGATCCGAACCCTCGGGCGGGAGGGCCGCCGCGCTTCCCAAGCGGCGCACTGTAGCAGTGCGCCACCGGGCCGGCCCCCCTTTCCTATTCTTAATCAGGCAGTAATTAACCATGAAGGAACACTTCTTTCAAATAACTTTTTCTTTAGCATGACCTTCTTCAATATTTATATATACTGATTTAATAATACACAATCTGTTATACATGTGTGTATATATGTATATATATTTTAAATCTATTAATGTGGAGTTTTGGGGCTTATTGTTGGCTTCAAAAGCAGACTCCTGGAGTTTAAGAGTTTTTGTAGTATTTGTGAGGAACACGGTCAGAATATGTGGAAAATGTCGAAGCTCTTGTCAAGAAAGAATAAATTGGTTAAGAGTTAGAACTGACCAGTCAATGAAACAGCTCTTATATGTAAAGTCACTTTCTCTCTATCACTTTACAAGGCAGGACAGGGTTTTAGGAGGAAAATAAGACATGGGCCCTATCTTCAAGGAATTAACTATCTTACTTGGAAAGACAGCACCACGTTACAGGACACAGTAGTGAAAAATCCAAGATAATTAATAAATGAATGCTGGACTTATGGACAGGTACTCCAGAGCTTCAGAAGAGTAGGAAGTTGATCATTCACCCAAACTCTCGATCATTAAGGAACTATGTAGAGTGTCTAGTGTGTGCCAGCTACTGTTCTCAGGGCTGGAGGTAAAGCAACAGGCATTGCCAAGTTTCCATTCTGGAGCTGTGTGGAGGAGCTTGTGCCTTGGAAAGCAGATAGAACATGCTGGTGACAGGAATCATCTGGCAAAGCTAAGGAGGCAGGGGGCGGATCGGTGGCCAGAGGGGAGGTGGAGTGTTTAGGAATGGTGGGAGGTAAAGTTGGAAACCCAAAAATGATGCATGTACAACACATTTTGGGGGACATATGAGGAAATATGAATATGAACTAGATATCATATGATTATGAGGAATTATTGATTTCCTTAGAAGAAATATTGGTATCATGGTTGTGTAATTTTAGAAGATGAGTGATGGAGCTTTGAGATGAGGTGTCATGATGTTGGCAACTTATTTTCAAATGGTCCTGCTATATATTTATATATGTATATATTACACATGCTGATCTGATATAGATAAGAGAAGCATGGCTAAATATTAATAGTTGTTGATTTTAGGCGGCGTCTATATTGGTGTCCGTGGTATTACTTTCAACTTTTCTGTACATGTGAACATTTTCATAGTAGAAAGTTGGAAATAAATTGGATTAGTAGGAGATGGATGGGAAAAGAATCTCAAACCAGACCTTGTGGTTGAGTGGATTTACTGGAAAATAGTCTCATTGAAAGATTTCTTTGGTTTAAGTTTCCTTCACAAGCTCCTGTGATAAGTGGTATTAATCATTCAGCAAGCGCTCATTAACTGGCCTGGTCCACAGCTTATATGTCTCTTGTATGAGAGATCCACGACTGACTCATGCCTGCCTTTTACTTTTTTAGGTTTCATTGTTAAAATGCATGTGGGTACTTCAAAAAGTTGGTGAAAAAATAGAATTAAAAGCTAATATGAATCTTTCTGTGAACTTTTTGAAGTACCCTCATATTTTATTTTATTATTTTTTTTAAAGATGACCGGTAAGGGTATCTTAACCCTTGACTTGGTGTTGTCAGCACCACGCTCACCCAGTGAGCTAACCGGCCATCCCTATATGGGATCCGAACCCGTGGCCTTGGTGTTATCAGCACCACACTCTCCCGAGTGAGCCACGGGCTGGCCCAATACCCTCATATTTTAAAAATCACATTAATGTTATTGTCTGTTAAAAAACAAAAACAAAAACAAAATGAAGGTGATATCCCTCTCTCAAGCGTATTTTTAAAAAAGCTTTGTGTATTTTCACATGTTATTTGATGAGCTAACACTTGCTATGTTAGAATAACTTTAGAAGGAAAGATGTGAATTCTCATTTGTGCTTTTGTCCAGGTTATCAACTTGGCAAGCCTGTCCGAGCTCTAAATAACAATGGGATGAATAATGTTACGACTTTACACCTTTGGCAATCAGGTAATCTGGTCTGGCCGTTATGATTAGCACTCTGGCAAGCTAGAGCTAGAAGTATTACCATATTTTGAATCTAATCAAGTAATCAGTTACTTTAAAGCCTGGTTGGTTCATTTAGCAGGGAGGAGGCAGTGGTTAATTTTCATGCTTCTACAGTTTTTATCTTTTTTAAAGGAACATTAAAAACGTTGTTTGCACTTGAAGTGCTGGATATTAGTAAGAGAGATTTAGGTATGAGATTGGTTTGACAGTGCCTTGTGCTGTTTCTATAGTTTAACAGGGCTCTAATTGGAGATCCAAGAACAACTTCATTCTGCATGATGGAAAGTCTTTGCATCAGTGGTAATTACCCATATCTGCCAGAAGCAGTCAGTTTTTTGTCCAAAATAAACAAGTGATCATGGTTGGGAATTCTGATACAGAAAGGCGCCTTTGTTCAGCTGTGAAAGGATTAGAGTAACCATCATCTCAGTTTTTGAAAACTGGAAACTTTATTTCGACTTTATTGGTTTCCCTCTGTTTTTCAAGAAAAACTTTGCAGTAAAACTTTACCCATTTTAGCAAGAATAATAAGAGGATATAATCTTTTTCTGTTATAGCTGGAAGGGGTTTGTGTACATCAACAACTTTAAAACCCATTTTATTTGGAGAAAATGCACTATCTGGGTGCCTTTTAGAAGCTGGGATTAATGAAAACTGTACTCAGCTCAGGTGAGTGTTTCATTGATGAATTTATCTGTGTTTTGAAGGGTTTGCTTAAAATTAATTCACCACATGAATACTAAAGACAACACGAATATTAACAGAGTCTGGATTAAAACTTGTAAAAGTATAATGAATAATTAATAAATACAAACTTTCAATATAGTTTAGAGTTGGTTCAAACATCAACATAAGGGAAAACAGACCTTCTGTGGATGAAAGCCATTTCATCCATATTTAAGCAAGTTTCTCTGCTGAGGTTTGTTCAGATTATTGGAACCTTATATTCCTAGAACTTTAAAAAATGCAAGAGCAAGGTGTAATTGGTGTGATTAACATTTAAGAATACTTAAGCCCTGTTGCATAGTATGTAAAGGACTTTCCATTTAATTGTATGGGTAGCACTTAGAAAGTGTATTTATGGATATGCTTATGCATTCTTTTTTTTTTTTTAAATGAGGTGAAATTCAAATAACATAATTAATGGGCCGGCCCGGTGGAGCACTGGAGAGTGCGCCGCTTGAGAGCGTGGCGGCGCTCCCTCCGAGGGTTCGGATCCCATGTGGAGACCGGTTCCCGCTCACTGGCTGAGTGCGGTGCAGGCGTGACACCGAGGGTTGCGATCCCGTTACCGGTCAGTAAAAAAGAGACAGAAAGGATTGCGATCCCGTTACCGGTCAGTAAAAAAGAGACAAAAAGGAAAAAAAAACCAAAACAAATAAAATAATTAATGATTTTAAAGTGTATAATTCAGTAGCATTTAGTATATTCATAGTGTTGTGCAACCACCACCTCTGTCTAGTTCCAAAACATTTTCATCACCAAAAAAGGAAACCTGTACCCATTAACCAGTTACTTCCCATTTCCTCCCCATCTCAGCCTCTGGCAACAACTAATTTACATTCTGTCTCTATGCGTTTACATATTCTGGATATTTCATATAAATGGAATCATACTTTTGGGGCTGGCTTCTTCCACTTAGCATAGTGTTATTGAGGCTTTCCATGTTGTAACCTGTGTCAGTACCTCATTCCCTTCTATAGCTGAATAATGTACCACCACTTAAGGCAGTATATATGTGTTGTGTATATACATATACATACACAACATTTTATTTATTCATTCATTTATTGATGGACATTTGGGTTGTTTCTACCTTTTGGTTATTGTAACATTCACAAGTACGCTCACTCAGTGAGCAAACCGGCCATCCCTATATAGGATCCGAACCCGTGGCCTTGGTGTTATCAGCACCGCACTCTACCGAGTGAGCCACGGGCCGGCCTGGATTGCATGCATTCTTACACACATTTTATCTGTAACATATCCCAAGTGGTGTAGTTCTTTGGGGAGCAGGGAGAAGATGGGGATAACACTAAAAAGTTAAGAAAAACTGGTAGTTTCAGTAGAAGCTCCTGATCATAGGTTATGAGGCCTGAGTTCACAGAATCCTTCTGTTGTTCATAAGATTTGTACCCTCCAGTGGCATCACTGGACAGCAGGGATAACAAGTGCCAATTCTTAATCTTCACTTAATTTTTTTTTTGGCTGCTGGCCGGTATGGGGATCCGAACCCTCCCTTGGTTTTATAACAGTGCACTCTAACCAACTACACTGACCAACCAGTCCCTTCACTTAGTTTTATGACTCAGAATTCTATGTAGATATTTAGGTTCCTTTTACTGTTGGATAACTCTGGCCCAGAAATTTATCCTGGTAAGTTGATATGTGATCTCACCACCTCCCAAGTTTTGTGACACTCAATGGAGTCTGTAATACACATGATACCAACATAAGTTACTAACATTTTAAGTCCAAGGTAAAAGATTGCTTCTGTCCATCCTCCCGTAGCCGCTTAGGTCTATCCTGGGAAGGTCACTGAAGAGAAGTATGACTCGCAGCCAGTTTTTTTTTTTTTTAAAAAGATGACCGGTAAGGGGGTCTTAACCCTTGACTTGGTGTTGTCAGCACCACGCTCACCCAGGGAGCAACCGGCCATCCCTATATGGGATCCGAACCCGTGGCCTTGGTGGTATCAGCACCGCACTCTCCTGAGTGAGCCACAGGCCGCCCCCTGCAGCCAGTTTTTAATGCCGTTTTCTCTGGCAGTTTTTTATTTAGGCACCCAGCAAGTTTGACCTGGACATTGACCGAAAAGGACTTTAGGACAAGACCTGTGGTTGGCCATGAGCTGAGAAATGTCTTACTCTCTTACAGGGAGAATGCTGTTGAAAGACTTGATTCATTAATACAAGCAACTCATGTTGCAATGAGAGGCAACTCCAGTTACAGCGATCTCAGTGATGGCTGGCTGGAAATAATACGTAAGTCAAAGTTGCATACAGTAAAATGTGTCACTTGGTTGCTATGACTACCACCTGCAGTTGTAGCATTAGAGCCTGACCCAGTAGGTCATCATTCTTTCTGTGGCTTAAGTGGACATTTATCCAGAGGTTAACTCTCCAGGCAGGAAGCTTTTCACATTTTTCACCTCTTATTCATGATGCCTTTTTTGTTTTTAAGAGGAAATTCACATGAAGTTTTATGAGCCAACAATCTTCGTAAAAGTCTAAATGAGCTTTGAAGATTTTCAGTGCACTTTGGTTTGCATTGCTATTTTTGGTTGCCAGGAATATGGGCATTTGAGAATTGACTTTGTAATTTATAAAAGCAATTTTGTTAACTTAAAAGAAAATAAAGTGATTGAAACATTGTGCTAGGGCTGGCCCGGTGGCGCACTCGGTAGAGTGCGGCACTTGGGAGCGTGGCGGCACTCCCGCCGAGGGTTCGGATCCCATATAGAGACCAGTCCGCTCGCTGGTTGAGCGTGGTGCGGGCACAACACCGAGGGTTGCGATCCCGTTGCCAGTCGCGGTACGGGTGCGATGCCAAGGGTTGCGATCCTGTTACCGGTCACGAAAAAAGACAAAAATGAAAAAAAAAAAAAAAGAAAGAAACATTGTGCTAAGTGAAAGAAGCCAGACACAAAAGATCTTATACTATATCATTCCATTTACATGCAATATGCAGAAGAGGCTAATGTGACAGAAAGCAGATTAGTAGGTGCCAAGGGCTGGAGGGGCTGGGAGGAAATGGGGAGTGACTGCCTTTATGGTGTAATGAAATATTTTAAACTTGAATCTGATGACGGATGCACGACTCTATGACTATACTAAAACCCTTTTTTTTTTGGTGCCTGGATGGTGCAGGGATCTGAACCCTTGACCTTGTTATCAACACTGCGCTCTAACCAACTGAGCTAACTCGCCAGCCCCTAAAAGCCATTGAATTATACTTTTTAAATGGGCGGATTGTATGGTATGAGAATTATATCTCAATTAAGCTGTTAAAAAAAAGAAAGAAAGAAATTAAGGTCCAACATATCTAATGATAGCAGAGATCTAAAGGCCAGATAAAAAGATGTGACAGTTCAGTGCCTTTGGCCAAAGGCATTTGCAGCATTGGGTTGGCTGGGGCGTGGTATACAAAGTGGTCAAGATAGACCACATGCACAGAGAGTAATAGTGACCCAGCTTAGCTTGTACCAACATGGCTGATTTCACCTCTGAATCCAGAATGTCCATCAAGTTGTGAAGATCTAGCACATCAGGTTATCTGTGGAGAGACCTAAGGTCAGAGTGAGTTATGGCAGAGCTAGAACGAAAGCCAAGGGCTCCAGTCGTCTTCCTCTCTTCCCAGGTAGCGAGTCATGTAGTGTCTTTCCTGTTTCTCAAGGAGTTTTGAGCATGTAAATGCGTTGGACAGAAAGCTTCTTCTGTTGCTATAATGATGGAATTGCCTTTTGGGGCCAGAAAGAGCTCAATGAGCCTGCAGCATCTGCCTTCCTAAGTCTTCTCCTCTCACTGTGGGTGCTGCCATGCCCTTCACCTCTGCCTGGCTCAGAGGGAGCGGCTCTTTGGATTCTGCCTTCTTCCTTCCTATACCCTCTGAGGTCACTTCAGCTCAGCAGGCTGGAATTTACACAAAGGACCATCCAGACACATGACCACACTGTCTCCATCCCTTGTGATTGGGGTCTTGATGATTTGGACTGCCCCCTTTCCTATCCCCCTTTGGGTGGCCAGGGATCATGTAATATGTCTGTGGGCTTGAAGTGCCCTAGACCACTCCCTGCCTCGGGAGGGGGTCCTGTTTGCCACAGGGCTCTCAGGCCCATCCAGCCTACACTCAAGGCACTAGGCCCCGAGGTGCAAAGAGAACCCAGAGGTGGGGTTGTCAACTCCTGGGCTCTGCCATCCAGGCCAGCTAGATGGGCTGTGAATGACCCCTGAGGGATGCAGGGAAGGAGTCAAAGTACTTGAGAAGTAAAAAGTATGGGAAATTTCCAGACACAAAACCCAGGTTGGTTACATACAAAATCAGAGAGGTGATGACATTTTGTTGCCTTCAAGGTGGAAGAGGTTGGCTTCTGTTTCATGTCCAGCCAAAAAGCAGCCCTGATCCTGGTTAATAAACAGATGAGAAGTGATGTTGACACATGTATCAACATGTGGAGGAAATTAGGCATCATAAAGAAACAGTGCCACCGACCTTCAAAATCCCTGAAAGAACAAAGAAACCCCTCTCCAGAGTCACCATAGAACCTGCCACCTACTTCCTTGCATTGACCTTGCTGGTTTTTCCCCTAAGTGCCAGTTTTCAAGACAAATGAAAATTAACTTCTCATTCAATTTTATTCTCTTCCAGTTGTATTACTGCTATGGCATTTGAGTGAGCAAGTGGGAAAACACACACACAAAAGCCAAGTGCTTTTCCTTTGCTCTTACTTAGCAACAAGTAAGAACACAGAAGACTGACTTCTGTGATGATATGTGTAGAGATTTCTCCCCACTGGCATGCAAGCCAGCAATTCTTTAGAAACACCAGCAGGTGTCCACCAATTTAATTCTGACACTATCTACCTGGAGGTAGCGTCAGATCGCACAAGGTGAGGGCTCAGTCCCCAAGACTGCCCCCAACTTCATGTAAAAGTTTCAAGCCCAGGCCTCTGGAACTTCTGACACCAGCTATAAATCGGGCTTCCCACAACCCCTTCCTTGGATTTGATTAGTTTGCTGAGTGGTTCACAGAACTCAGGGAAACACGTACTTATGTTTACCAGTTTATTAAAAATGATATTACAGGGCCGAGCCCATGGCGCACTCGGGAGAGTGCGGCGCTGGGAGTGCAGCGGCGGTTCTCTCAGATGCTGGCGCAGTGGAGGGGATTACTCAGCAGGAGATACTTGGCGTAGAGACAAGGTATGATCACATCCTGGATAAGTGCAGTTTAGAGAGAGTCAGTAAAGTTGAGCATGCTCCAAAGAACAGGGAAATGCTAATTTAGGATCTGACTGTTTATTTACAAATTGTAATAAATGCAATATGTGGAAACTATGTTCATGATGGAAACTTGTTCTCACAAGTATTTCTAAAGCTAGGTGTAAGAGACTCTGCAAAGTATTTTAGGGTGTACAAAGATGAATAAGGGGCTGCTTAGTGCTAAGCATGTTTTGAAATCCATGAATGTAGCTGGCATGCTGATCAGGGAGTATTTCCCAGTGGTTAGAGACTTTTGCAGCAGAAAGGCAGATTCAAATCATGGTTCTCCCACTTAGGAACTGTGTGACACTGGGCAATCACTTAACCTCTTCTGAGCTGCAGTTTACTCATCTGTAATGTGGCGATAATACCTTTATGTATCAGGCCTCTGTCAGTTTTAAGTGACAGGGTCCCAACTCATACTGACTTAAGCAGAAAGAGGAGTGTATTAGTTCAAGTTTGGAAAGAGTCCCTGTTGCTTTGCCCCCCACAGATTTGTCACCCCACTTCCCCTGGGTGATGGAGCCGCAAAGGATTACTCAAGGCCCATCTCTTCCAAGCAGTGAGAGACCCCAAAGTGGTTAATCTCCCCCAGAACCCTCAAGCAAGAGGCGTCCATTCCTTGGGAAATTAACCCCGAATTGGGGTTCTCTTCCTGCATTTATTTTCCAGACCAGGAAGAGAACATAGGTGGGGTTATAGTTTAACCATATAGGCTGGTAACTTTCAGTGAAAGAAGTCAGATGACATTCCCTTAGACAATTAAGTGGTCCTAGCAACAAAAGCTTGATCTTAGCAAACATTCCTTCTCCCTCCAGCAATTTTCCAGTATCTTTACATTTCAATCAGTAACTAGTCTGTCCTTGAGCCAGCAACCTTGCTGTGCCACAAATCTTTATCTTACACCAGAGACTTTATAGCCTGAGGAAAACTTTCAGCCCTCCGCAAGGCTTTGGAAAACCAGGCCCTGTGAAGTACATTTGCTTTAAGAATATTTCACAGGTCCCCATATAGCTAGCTCATGGGTCATGGTTCCTGTCTGATCAGGGATCTTTTTCTCTTTATTACTTGGCCCCTCTTCCCTTTGGGTTGGCTTCATTCTCAGGGAGGTTCTTCTCAAAAGATAGCAAAGATGAATACTAGCAATTTCAGGCTTATGTCAGTTTAGCAAATCCAGTGGAAAGAGAGTGCTTCTTTCCCCATCTTTCTCAAAAAAGATCTGGGCAGACTTCTGTTGGTTCAGTTTGAGTCATGTGCTCCTTTCTGAACCAATTACTATGGCCAGGGCAATAGACAGCTCTGATTGGCATGGCTCAGGTGATGGGTCCACCCCTAGATTCAGGCTAGTCCCTTTGGTCCACTGAACTGAGAGTGGGGAATGGTGGTTCCCCAAGGGAAAACTGGGGTGAAATTACCAGGAAAAGGGAGAAAGGATTCTGGGCAAGCAGAAATAACAGATGTTAACCACCAAACCTACCTTGTAGTACTGTTTTGAGGATTGTAAGAGATGGTGTATATAAAGCACCTTAGCTCTGTGCCTAGAACATAGAAAGCCCTCAATAAATAGTTAACTGCTGTTGTTGTCATTATTATGTTGTTGGAGGCACACAAGTGATGAAACAAGTTACCTTTAAAAGCACCTGTATAAAATGAGATGCCTAGAGAGTGGAGAGATTGGCAACATGCTGGCAACTGTAGTTAGGTGATAGGTACATGAGAGTTCAGGATTTGTCTGGATTTGAAAATTTACATAATACAAAGAAAAAAAAAAACCACCACTAGAATTTGAAACTTCTTAAGAGAATCTCAGTTTACACCATGGTTGTATTAGTTACCTGATGTTCTTAGTAGAGTACAAATGAATGGTGGATATATTGCCTGCATGATCTTTTCCTCCTAGGATGTCCTCGGTGAACTGGCAGTACCAGTGTGGGCTTACTTGTGAAGATAAGGCCAACCTCTTCCCTCTCAGTGCATCAGTCCAGTTCATTAAAATACCTGCACGGTTACCCCGCCCTCTGACCAGGTAATCCACTTGCTAACCTCCCTGACATTATTAGGAAGCAGAAAAATGTATATTTGAAAATAGGAAGTTTATTCCTTTCATCAAGTTCTGATGGTTTCCACTTGTTGTAGTTGTTGTAACCTTCTAAATGTTTTGTAGATTCCAGATCAATTTTACAGAGTATGATTGTAACAGAAATGAGGTGTGTTGGCCACAGCTTCTGTATCCATTGACCCAATATTATCAAGGTAGGGTAAAACAGATTTCTGGAATGGTTATAAATTCTGTTTTGTCAATTTAAAAAAGTTTAAAAAATAATAACGTGTAAATGTCACAGAAGACTTAAAACATTCAAAAAAGTTAAAAAAAATAATTTATTGATAATATTACCATGTAGAAATTATCACTGTTAATGTTTTGGCTTGTTTCTACCTACATAATTACAAAAAGAACTAAGAAATAATGTTGCTTAATTTTATTCCTTGTTTTTCAGGGGAGCCTTACTCCCAGTGTGTTGCCAAGAGCCTACTGTTGGTGTCGTTCCTCGTGGTGGCTGTGTTTCTTAGTAACCCCTGGACCAGACTGTGCAAAGCTTGGACTTCAACTATCTGACTTCTTAAAAACCATACACCTTTACTTCAGGGATTTGTTGTAGTCCCACATGTCTCTCTATAAAATTGTAATAAATGAAATGTTTTATTTTTGCAGAAAATTTTTATAAAGTGTTTTACGAATTTAATTCACAATGTAGCTATCCAGATGTTCACAGCAGTGCAGAATGAACATTCTTTTTTTTTTTTTTGTCTTTTTTCGTGTCCGGCAACGGATCGCAACCCTCAGTGTCGCGCCCGTACCGGACCGGGACCGGCAACGGGATCACAACCCTCGGTGTCACGCCCGCACCTCGCTCAGCCAATGAGCGGGAACTGGTCTGTATGTGGGATCCGAACCCTCGGCGGGAGCGCTGCTGCGCTCCCAAGCGGCGCACTGTAGCAGTGCGCCACCGGGCCGGCCCAGAATGAACATTCTTATAACTGGATTGGACTGAGTAAAATGCATGTAAATAAATGTTAGAAATTTTATCTTGTCACAAATTACTAAAGTCATAGGAGTTTTATTTATACCAGAAAGAGTCAATCTTTTCTTTAATTTTTATATATTTGTGGTGTTTGATTAGTTTCCCTTATTCCAAAGAAAAGAAGAAATGCATAAAGCCTTAAAAGTGCACACAATATAAAAGCGCAAAATAATAAATGGATGAGGAAAGATGTGGGGGTTGGGAGAAGGAAATAATATAGGGAAGAAAGTAAAACAAAATCAGAGGTGAATGTAAGTCATGAAAATACATGCCAAAGATTGCATTTAGCAAAGGCAGACCCTAATTTAGTTTTCAGTTTATACAAAATCAAATATAATTTGCTACAGGAATCATGGGGTCCATACAATAAAATAAATTGATTTTCAATGAAGGACAGTTCTTCCTAGTTGAGTCTTGAGAGAAATTCCTCCCCTGCACCCTCAAAAGGGACAGTCAGCTGATGCAGTAATGGATGGGAATGGATGTCTTTTAACCACAGCCCTATAGAAGCCACAGAGCACATCACCTGTAAGTTTTCTTTGTGTGCCAGGTAATTTATGTAATTGTTCCAGGTGGCTTTTGTACACCATTGATAATAGTTTTGAAAAGTTAACCTTTTCCATTTTACACTTTTTGATTGAATCCCAGCACCCCATAAAATGTGTTTTTATTTATTTATTTATTTATTTTTTTCCCTTTTTGTCTTTTTTTCGTGACCGGCAACGGATCGCAACCCTCAGTGTCGCGCCCGTACCGGACCGGGACTGGCAACGGGATCGCAACCCTCGGTGTTGCCCCCGCTCCTCGCTCAGCCAGTGAGCGGGAACAGGTCTGTATATGGGATCCAAACCCTCGGCGGGAGTGCCGCCGCGCTCCCAAGCGGCGCACTGTAGCAGTGCGCCACCAGGCCGGCCCTAAAATATGTTGTTATATTTTCACTGCAGGGGGAATTTCAAATCTTCCTTCTAAGTGCCGCCGCGCTCCCAAGCGGCGCACTGTAGCAGTGCGCCACCGGGCCGGCCCTAAAATATGTTGTTATATTTTCACTGCAGGGGGAATTTCAAATCTTCCTTCCAATCTTAAGTCCATTTTTGAATAGGGGGATGAACCAATTATCACACAGCTCATAATTTTCAGCAAGATGGAAACCTTGTCAATTTCAGCATCCGTTCTGGGGTGGTATTGGGCCTTCACCCAACCCCTAGGTAGGCCTGACTTAGGAGTCTGGGTCAGTATTGAACCCATGGGGCCAGGGTAAGTGTTGCCTATTGTCCAAACTTCAGCGGTTTGGATTCACCTTCACAATTCTTACTGTATCTGAGTAGCACCTGTACTGTTGTTTAAACCTTTCTTTAAATTGATTTACCGGCTTAACCAATAGTATTTGTGAAACTATGGGTTTGATGTTATAGTTGTATTTTTTCCTAATTCGTATTCAACATAACATAACATAAAATGCCCTAAGATTTCCCCCCCATCAAGTACCACTTGGATTCCTCCCTCTTCTACTTCTCTTTCTTTGATTTGGATCTTTGCAGGTTGAAGTGATTATACCCAATAGGAGTCAAAAGTTGTCTTCTGTCAGAGGTAAGGAAATACCCACTGATTAATTGCAGGGGTTCAGAAAGTCTTTCAATGGCAGTTAACTAGCTTTGGATTTAAGATATTTACGGAAAATTAATTTAAAATTTCCAAATGACAAATAATTTGGCCTGATAGTGTGGGCTTTGTTAGGATGCTTTTTGTACTTTAAAAAGGTTAAAACTCAGTGGCAGTAGATTGGGATATGGCTTGCATACTATATGGTTTTAACTTCTCTACGTTTATATATTCAAGTGTGAATTCAAGAAATACGAGGGTTCTTCAAAAAGTTCATAGGAAATTTCGTATTATGTATTTATTCTATTTTTCCATGGGGTTTTTGAAGTACCTCGTATTTACTGGATGGCTACTATGTGCTGGGCCCTCGAGATCCCACAGTGACCCAGACAAATTAGCCCCTGCTCTGGTGGCGCTTACATTCTGGTGTGGAAGACGGGCAATAACCACGAAGACCAGGTCATTTCAGACGGTGGTAAGTGCTGGGAAGGAAATAAAACAGGTGCAACGAGGTGGGGTGGCAGGGCTACTTCAGCTGGCGGAAGGACAGCCTCTCGAGGGAGACATTTGAGACGAATCCCGAAGGAGCCAGCTCTGAGGACCTGGGGGTGGGTGGGGAGGGTGTTCCAGGCGGGGCGCTCCTGCTTCCTGGTCTGCGCGGGTACGGAGGCCAGGTCCTGCACAACTGCATTATAAACATTGTGAGACACTAAACACCGAATACTATGTAATTCCATTGGTAGGACATATCTGAGAGCAGGCAAATCTAGGGAGACAAAGTCGTCCGGGGCTGGGCCGGGTGGGTGGGTATCTTTCCGGGGTGGTGGGAAATGCTCCAAAATTGGATTGTGATGATGGGCGCACACTCTGTAACCTCACTAAAAAATCTCAGAACCGTGCACTTAAAGAGGGTAAACTCATTGCGACTCACCTAGAAAGCCCTAAAAAGTCCAGCGAGCGGGGTAGCTCGCTCTTCAGGGCGCAGGCCGGCCCGCCATGGGGTCCCTGTTCCGGAGCGAGACCATGTGCCTGGCGCAGCTCTTCCTGCAGTCGGGCACGGCCTACGAGTGCCTCAGCGCCCTGGGGGAGAAGGGCCTGGTCCAGTTCCGAGACGTGAGTGTCTCCCGGGAGACGCGGGCCGCATCTGCCCGCCAAGCGCCCCCCGCCGTCCGTCGAGCCTGACGCTCGGCCTTCCTGCCGCGGGCTCCCGGGGAGGGCGCGCCCCTGTTCCCATTTCCCAGACGGGGACGCTGAGGCCCCAGCTTACCGGCCAGAGCTTCTGCCGAGCGGGCACTGAGCCAGGGTCGCCGGACGTGTGGTTCGCGGCGGCTCCGCCCGAGTTGGATAGGGTCGCTTCTGTGTAGTCCTCATCAGCTCGGGGTAGTATTCATCAAATGCCCCGGGCACCACGCCAAGCGGGAGGTCAGGTCCGATAGCGGCCTCCCGGAGTCCTTTTGGGGCTTCAGGTGTTAGGGTGAGGGGACACATCAAGCAAATAAATACGTAAACGAGAAAATGTTTGTATAGGGCTGGCTTGTGGCTCACTTGGGAGAGCGTGGTGCTGACAACACCAAGTCAAGGGCTGAGATCCCCTTACCTATAATCTTTAAAAAAAAAAAAAAAAGAAAAGAAAATGTTTGTATAAAGAAAATAAAACAGGGTGGTGCGATGGTGGCTCAGGTGCTTTTGAAGGGGTGGTCCAGGAGGGCCTCTCTGAGGAGGTGACGTTTGAACTGAGACCCGAATGGGAAGGAGCCGGCGGTGGGAAGATCTGGGGTAAGAGGGTCCTGGTAGAGGGAATAGCGGGAGCATAGACAGAGCCTGAACTGGGAATGAGCAGGGTGTAGGCTCCTCGAGGACAGGGCTTTTTGTCTGTTTTGTTCACTAATGTGTGGTGATGTACACTCCGTTGTTGCGTGTTAAGGTCTAAGAGTGCAGTCAGTATTTGTTAAATGGAAGCTGTCTCCCCACCAAGTACTAATAAACACTTGTTTGTGTATGCATTTACTTGTTAATTGTTTGTCTCTACCATGGATGTCACCCTCCAAGGGTAAGGACCTTGCCTGATTTGTTCCCACTTGATTCTCCAAGACTCAGCACAGTCTCTGGCATTAATAGGCATTTGTTGAATGAGTGAACAGGCTTTTATTGAGTGCCTGCTCTGTTCCGGCACTGTTTTTGGTGCAGGGGACTCAGTGGTGAGCAGGGCAGACAAAGCCCCTGTGTTCTTGGAGCTCACAGTCTGGGAGGAGAGATTAAACACATTGTGATTATGAGCTGTGACAAGTGCTGTGAACAGACAGAACAGGGTGTGGAAAGGAGGCTGCTAAGCAGGCCCTAATACTGGTTGAATTGGAAGTCAGGTGTACATTTTATTTCTTGAGCCACCACTTTCATCTCCTGGTTTTTTCTCTTCATTTTTCCGAGACGTCCTTAATTTCAAAAGGGAGCATCCCTACCCAAGATCTGATATCAGTGATCCTTGGGTTGGCCCCAAGGCGGTTGCAAGGTCATGGAAGAACTCCTGAGTGACAGGCGAGAGGGTAGTAAGGTGCAGCGCTCTTCCTGGTTCCTGGAGCCACTTGGGTGTCAGCACATGGTCCCCATTCACCTGGCAGGTGCTGTCTGTGCTGAGCTGTGAGTACTACTATGAAAATTCAGGCAACAGTCACAGGGGAACAGGCTCCTTTCTTTGTAACAGGTAGATTTATTCCATTGTGGTAGTACTCAAGCAAGGTGCTTATCACACTTAATCTTAGGGGTTTGAACAAACGCTCTAATCATCGCAAAAATTTGAGTTTCATTAAGTACCATTACATTAAGGCATAGTGTATACTTGGGAACCTTTTAAACTGAAAGTGGGTGAAAGAAAAAGAAAGTGCTGTTGGTCTTTTTCCAGAAGGAAAATAAAACCACGGTGCTGTGATGAGCTCTTCCTGGTGTGGTGCTGGGTTTTCCTGTGTCCAGGCTGACGGTCAGGCAGTGTGGGTGCTAGGGCAGAAAGCACCCTCCCATCCCAAACTGCTCTGCTCTTTTTCTGGAGTTTGTTTCTCACTTTGCAGTCAGGATCACTATCAGTTTTTTCTGGCTTGCTTAGGCTTTTCTTTTAGTAACCCTTCAAGGGAAAGGGGGCAGGTCAGGGATTTCCATAGTGACATCCAATGAGAAGACCAGGGGGAAAAAAGGTCATTCAGCTAAGCAGTAGGATTCAGTGAAGGGAAAGTTTGTCTCACTTTGTGACAGTCCTCAGTCTAAGAACTGCTTTCCCCCTTAGTCCTTTAGCTGTGGGAGTGGGAGGATCAAGGGTGTTAATATCGAAGGTCTTCTCTGCTGGTTTTTCTAGGTTAAGATCAGCTTTAAGTGAATCTATGTTAAAATGTACTTTATACCGTTAGCCTTGAATTAGGTTGCTTTTCCTGCCCTAAAAGGAAAATGAAACCAAAATTTGTGAAAGAAAGCACTCAACAGAAAAAAACTTAGGGTATGGAAGCTGGTGATGGTGGTTTATGTCAAATCCAATCATGCTTGTATCATTGCCGCAGAAACTTACCTCTTGTAAGGAGTCTACTATTTGTAGAACCATTATGTCCATTTAAAGTTAACTAGTGTTTGATATTGTAGAAAAAAAAAAATTGAAACTGAGAAGTAGGATCATGCACAGACAGCTCTGATGCATAGCTTCTTTTTTATATTCTTGGTTCTGCAGAAATAAGAGTATCTGAATCATTAGGAATTTGGAAGTGGTTACTTTAGATTACTATGACCTCCAGACATGAATAAGAAAGTGACAAACAGAAGTGAAATCTGAATTTTTATCTTCTTTCTGGTTAATTCTTTAAAAAAAAAATTCAAAAACTGAACAAGAACTGAGCCCTTTGGGGGAAGACACTTCTCAGGTTGAGCAGTTTCATGACAAGTTGTTGACTAATTGTTTTTTTGAGAGTGCCCAGGACTGTACGGAATAAAGTTAAAATTCTTATCCTAAATGGCTTTCAGCGTGAATGATTACTATAAAGTTTTTTTTATTATAAGAGTAATAAACGTTCATTACTGTTTGGAATTTGAAATTTGGAAAATGGAAGACCAAGATAATATCTTACATGATCCCAATACCTAGAAATAAACACTTTAACTTTTTGGTTATTATTAGACAATCAAATATTTTTCTAATAATAAAAATGTACATATATATGTATATTTATATAATTATAATCACACTGAAAATATCTTTAATCTGCTTTTCACACACAAATCATGACTGATTTTCTAATTTTATTAAGTATTCTATTACAATATTTTTCATTCCTTTAAGCTATGTATTATAAGAAGTAGAGGGGGGAATACAGTGGACCCCAATATACCCATAATGTAAACTTGTGGCCACTCATTTTATTCCCTATCTCTCCTCCCAGACTAGATCATTTTGAAGCAAATCTGAGATGTATAATTTCATATTTCACTAAGTATCTCTAAAACATAAGCACTCAAAAATCATAACAATGATACCATTATTGTACCTGAAAATTTTAATAATAAATTTCTTAATAAAATCAAATATCTGGTCATTTCAAACACGATTTTCAATAAGTGCAAAGTAATCCATATTTCACTAAGTATCTCTAAAACATAAGCACTCAAAAATCATAACAATGATACCATTATCGTACCTGAAAATTTTAATAATAAATTTCTTAATAAAATCAAATATCTGGTCATTTCAAACACGATTTTCAATAAGTGCAAAGTAATCAGTTATATGGCTGAACCATAATTTTTTTACAACTTTATTGAGTTGTATCATACAGTTCACCCATTTCAAGTATGCAATTCAGTTATTTTTTAGAAAGTTTATCAAGTCATGCAACCATTAACAATCAGTCTTAGAACATTCCATCACCCCAATAAGATTCCTTATGCCTGTTTACAGTTAGTCCCCATTCCTACCCCCACTTCCTGGCAACCACTAATCTACTTACTTCCTCTAGATTTGCCTTTTCTGGACATTTCATATCAATGGAGTCATACAATAAGTGGCCTTTTGTGTCTGGCTTCTTTTGCTTAGTTATAATGTTTCCAAAAGTCATCCATGTTGTCTTGTGTGCCAATATTTGTTCCTTTTTTATTGCTGGGTAGTATTCTGTTGTATGAAGATAGGCTATAATTTCTTTTTCTTTTCTTTTTTTTTTTTTTTTCCCCTTTTTGTCGTTTTTCGTGACCGGCAACGGATCGCAACCCTCAGTGTCGCGCCCGTACCAGACCGGGACCGGCAACGGGATCGCAACCCTCGGTGTTGCGCCCGCACCTCGCTCAGCCATTGAGCGGCCGGTCTGTATGTGGGATCTGAACCCTCGGCGAGAGCGCCCCCGCGCTCCCAAGCGGCGCACTGTAGCAGTGCGCCACCGGGCTGGCCCAGGCTATAATTTCTTTAACCACTTTCCTATTGTTAGAATTTAGGGTTATTATTTTTTTTCTCTTTCCCTGAGGTTGACGATCTTATAGGTAAATTTTTGTCTGTATCCATAATTTTTTCCTTTGGTTAAATTTATTCACTGGATATTGCTGGGCAAAGTATACTTTCCAGGCTTCTTTGATAACAGTTGCCAAGTCACTCTCCAGAAAAGTTGTGGGAGTTTGTACTCTCATTCAGTATATGGGAGTGTACTTTTCCCCAAATCCTTGCCAATAATATTTTATTTTATTTTATTTTATTTATTTATTTTTTCCTTTTTGTCTTTTTTTACTGACCGGTAACAGGATCACAACCTTCGGTGTTGCACCCATACCGGGGACCGGCAACGGGATCGCAACCCTCGGTGCTGCGCCCTCACCTCGCTCAGCCAGTGAGC